TTCTGACAGGTGTGTAGTGACATCTCATTATAGTTTTGAAGCATGTCCCAAGTGACTAGTGATGTTGAGCATCTTTTCATGTGCTTATCTGTCATTTGTATATCTTCCTTAGTGGATTGTCTGGTCAAGTATTTTGCCCACTTTTTAATGGGTTGTTTATTTTCTTATTTTTGAGTTTTGAGAGTTCTTTATATATTCTGGGTATATGTTCTTTATGTATTTTGGATACAGGTCCTTTTTGGAAGAAATTCACAAATAGATTCTAACATTCATATGGAAAGGCAACATACCCAGAATAGCCAAACAACTTTGAGACAGAACAAAGCTGGCAGATCAAGCAACACTACCTAATTTCAAGACTTACTATAAAGCCACAATAATCAAGACAGTATGGTCATGGCGTGAAAACAGACAAATAGACCAATGGGACAGAATTCAGAGGCCAGAAAAAGACCTATACATATACACAACCAATTTTTGACAAAGGTATAAAGGCAATCCAATGGGAAAAGGACAGTCTTTTCAACAAAGAGTGCTGGAACAATTGGATCGATCCATAAAGGAACAAACTGATAAGTAGAACATCATCAAAATTAAAAACTTCTGTTCTCAAAAGATTGTCAAGTGAATGAAAAGACAAGCCACTAACTGGGAGATAATAATTGCCAAAAATGATAATAAATCTTAACATTGCACACATTATGTGCCAGACACTGTTTAAGAACTTTATGTAATTTCACATATATCTATTATAAACATCTTATAAAGTAGATACAATTTTTATCCTCATTTCATATATGAAAGGCACACGAATTTAAGAATCCAGCTTAACGATACAAAACTAGTAAACCAAGAAGCCAAAATCGGAGCCCCGGCTGTCTGACTTCTGAGCCCATGCTCTTTACATTTCCTAAAGTAAAAACGAATGACACCTCTTTCTTTTCATTTTCTGTCTTTAATTTATCTGAGGAGGGCTTTTAAAAAATAACCCCTCTTCTTATTTCAATAGCCTACTTTTCAAAACTCTTGAGGTAAGCATTTTTGATGGCCACGTCTGCCCAGCTATGCTCAATATAAAGTCCCCTTCCTATAAGTCTTTTCCAAGACCGGGCAAACCAAGAGGTTATCAGTGTTTCCGGGACCGATATGTACAATCCAAGGGTAACACAAGTAAGTTTGTAACGCTTAGTGCCAGATAAAGCAGCCTTGAGCTTGGATTGCCACATTGCCCAGTTGACTCTTTTGGAGCGAGGGACATTCCTGCTGGAGAGTACATAGTGGTTTCTTATGCCCGGAAAGAAAGCATGTGCCTCCTTCAGTGACCACTTACATCTAGAGAGGGACCAAGGCATGGGAACGCTCGTGTTTATCTGTGTGTCTGAGCCCACCCACTGTTTCACTGCAGGCCTTGGAGCAAGAAGTATCAAGTCCTAAAAAGGCATTTGGGCTGAATAGTGCAATATGCTTGGATACCCTTGCTTCATGTAAACACAGGGTGATTGTGAATTCCAAGAGCCCGGGTGTTGTAGTTCAGCAAGGGTCTGATTAGCATCTAGAAAACATCCCAAGAAAGGGCTGCAGACCTCTTTGTCTAGAGGAGAGGTGTACACATGACCCTGGTCACCGGGGCTTCCTAGCAATTCTCCTATGAATGTTTTATCCAGGTTCCCATGGAGGTATATTTTGGGAGTCTCTAGAACTTTCATGGCAAAGGGCTTTTGGCTGGCCCACCTTATTTTTACAAGTGCGAGTCAAGCAGTCTGACGTACAAGGAAGAGTTGTGGGAAACGAAATTTCCTTTTCTACACAGTAGAAATAATATAGCTTGTAAGGTTTTTCCAAAAGCTGGTAATTGCTGAGTAAACTCTGTTTTGAACTATCAGCGCCGGGAGTCTTTCGGGATTTCAGCTTTGACATCACGTCAGCGACTGTGTCTAAGAATCAAAAACATACATTGCGTAGCCTCTATTACTCTCTGGTTTCATGGGCCAAAAAGCACAGAACTGTATTCCTTATTTCCATTGTATAACCTTTTACGTAGCACTTTGATTTTTTAATGTCTTCTTGCCTTCCAGCCTTCAAAAACAGAAATACAATAACTGTTTCTGCCTACTCCGCTGGCAGGATTGGGGGATTGCATTTTTCCTGGGTGTTCTTGATCATGCGGCCAGGGTACATTCCTTTGAGCTTACCCCCCACAGTAACTCAGCCTTTCTGACTTTAAGCCAGTCACATGGCTCAAGTCCAGCAAAACTTGAAACTTTGGCATTTGGCACTTGCCACGCCCAGGACATGGCTCTCTGAGATTTAGCAAAATCCAAAAATATGAATATGATTATCCCTTTGTGTCATATATTTAAAACTTAAATTTTAATTTTAATCAAGTTTTGAAACGTGAGTGTGCCCTGGGCATATTAGCATAGTTAAATTTTGCCAAACATAGAAAAATCTTAGGTTGTAAATTTTGGAGCAGCTTGTAAACTCTAGAAAAGAAAAAAATCAATGAAACAAAACGTCTGTACATACGTTCATTTACTATTATCATTTGTGCTGCTAGGACTGGATCTAAGATAATAGCTTGCACCCAGTAATGCTTTCTTGCCCAACTTTCTGTCTAAAATGACAATATTCTTTCTGTGTGCATTTATATTAATTTAAGAATATATAAAACTATGCCTGAATTTAGAAGAGAGCCTTTTTTGGGGTTTTATAATTCTGCTTTTCTTGATAAGTGTGTATGCAGACCATCTGCGTATGCACATAAGAAAATAATGTCACTTGTTTCCAAACAATTATTAGAGGCAGTGATGTATGAGGATTACGGGAGACGAGGATTGTTGCATCTACCTGTGAAAGCAGCATTAAATAGTCACTCATTTCATCAGGAAAAAGGAATGTGCTCTGGGGAATTAGTAGCACAATAGTCATAAAGTACCCACGTGGCTAAACAAAATTCCTGCCTGATGCAGGAATTTCAGTTCTGGGAAGGGAAGGAGGGTTTCTTTACAGAGGGTACACAGGAAGAGATGATTGTCTTTCAATTGTCTACAAAAATGAAGGCACCAATTCATATCATGTACACAAATGAAGAAACATCTTGAGTTAATTCATCTTCTAGCTTGTCTAAAGGTGGGAAGTTTGCAGGGTGAAGGCACCCAAAATTTAAGTCCCCACTGAGAGTTTTTAATGCTCATTTCTCATCTGAGGGGCTCAATTTTTTCTTGAAGAGTACACACAAGGCCCTATCAAAGTTCATTGTGCAATTTTGTTTTGAACCCTTGAAAGACAGCTTTTCCATTAGAAATCTAACACAGAAACGTCCTTAATTAACAGACTTTTCTGGGGTGCAGGGTGGGGCCCAAGCAGAACTCTGGGGACTGGAGGTGTGAATTTTAATGCTTTGTTGCAAAAGGAGACTCTAGACCTTCTCAGCATCTTATTTAAAGCGGAGTACGCTAATACGTGAAGCGGTGCATTACTGGCCTACATTGTTACAGGTATGAATTTTACATAAAACGGATTAATATTATATGTCATGGTGGAATTTTAAATACTCTGTGCCCATGCATTTTTAATATTTACGTGCTCTAATTTAATGCTCAAGGCAATTGCATGTCTTGAGCCCACTTTTACATGTAGATAGGTAAAAGAAAAACCCTACGACTGTTTTATTTATACGTCTCTTCACCAAAAATCTGCATTTGGCATTCTTTTCCTCTTTTTTTGCTAAGCTTTAACGTTTTTGCAAAAGAAAACGGAAAGGCTACACATTCCATTCCATCATATGCTTTCGGCAATTGTGAAAAGGCGAATAATGAAACGGAGGGGGAAAAATACAGAACAGAACGAACGTGCCTTCTTGAACAGCGTCCTTCTTAAGGCACTGGAATCCCAGGGATGGAGTGATGGGTGGCGGAGGGTCCCTGGGCGCCGCGCTATTAGGAGTGGCAGGAGATCCTCGAGCAGGGCCCAGAGCTCCCTCAGCAGCCTGGGCCGGGGGAGAGAGAATTCCAGCCGCACATTCCCGCAGTTCTTCGCAGGAACTTCTCCCTCTCTTTTCTCCTCCCCAGGGCACACACCAGCCTGGCCCGACTCCCACCCAGCTCCCTTTGCTCAGAGCCCCGACCCACTGTGTTGACGGAATGGAGTGCCCTTCCCATTGGCCCGAGCGTCATTCCCTGAGGTGGCACCGTCCGTCTGATTGGCTGGCCACTTCCGACCCCCCGCCCACCCCTCCACTCGGGTTGCCCGGCTCCCCGCCCCCCAGCACCGCCCGGAGCCCCCGCCCTCGCAACCTCCCTCCGCGCACCCTCCCGCGCGCCCAGCCCGGCTCGGCTCCGCTAGCGCGGCGACCTGGCCAACGCGCTGGCCCCGCCCTCGGGGCGCGCGGCTTATAAATGCAGCTGCGCGGCGGGCTGGGCGCCAGCAGAGAGGAGGCGCGGTTGTGAGTCAGTACTCGGAGCGGGGAAACCTCGGGTCCGGGGGGAGCGCGGCGGCGGAGGCGGCGGCCGGGCTGTAGTCGGAGCTCCGCAGGGAGTGACTAGGGAACCCAGTGGGCTGCTTTCCTTCCGGTGCTTTTGATTTTTCTGGCCTTTTGGTCCCGGCCGAGTGTCGCCCACTGAGCAGAGATCCCCCAGCAAAACCCGGAGCGAGCCTCCCGTCAATTGTTGGGTGCGGGATCGCCGGGAGCTTCGCGGTGCCCCGAGCGCGGACCGAGCGCGCCGGCCGCGAAGGCAAGGAGAGCGGAGCCGGCTGCGGGCGGGGGCCCGGGAGCTTGCCTGCTTCCCTCGCTCGCCCCAGCAGGTCCGCTCGCGCAGGGCGCAGGGCGCGCGCGATGAAGGCGGTGAGCCCGGTGCGCCCCTCGGGCCGCAAGG